AAATTCCACAGGCTTTACTTATCAGCTATTCTTGCAAAAACTGCAGAAATATAAAACTTTCCAAACTTAATCAATTTTATAAGCCCATCTCAAAAAAGCTTAGATGTTCTTCAAGGAGTGCTTATATAAACATGGTCTGAAAAGTCCTGAAATGTGTGCTAAACAACCATGAAAATCAACTAAATATCAGAAGTTAAGAAGGGGATATTAATGTAGGATGCCAAGAAAGGGGGAGGTGAGGATTAGACCAACAAAATTAACTGTAACCTAAAAAAAAAAAAAACCCAACTTCTCCCAATCTGGTACTATTATTTGAGAAACTAAAATGAGCTTAACTCCTGATTGAATTAGTTAGAACTGATAAGCAACCAAAATTATATTAGAATTGGGATTGTATTTTCTTTCTTACCATAAACTTAGATCCCCTTCATCAATGTAGATTTTGGACAGACAAGTGATGTTGTTTAAGTATCATTCTTTAAATATCAGTTATACACATTTCTTTTCCCTATTTCTCCCACCCCCAATAAACAGATCTTGAATTAAACTAGGCGCTGCAACAATATTCAGTTGTTAGTTAGCACATGATCAATTCTGTAAAAGGGCTGAAAAATACAAAGAAACCTAGCTAAAATGAGGCATCCTCCATTGTTTTATGTAATGTACCCTGACTGCTCCTGAGTAAGAAGGGAGCTCGTCCTCCATGAGATAAGGCTATATCCTCACTTGTTGGTGAGATCAAATTCTACCCTTAGAAAATCTCAAATAAAATTACAACAAAGGTAGTGTTCAAAGTAATTAACTGAAGCATTTCTGAAGGTAGTGTGTGCACATTTCCCACCTCCTTCCCCTCTGGGTGAGCACTAAGTAGATTGCAAATTCGAAGTAAATTAAGTGTAATTATATAAATGACCAAAATACATATTTATCATTGAATAACCAAAATTTTCAAATTCAAAGGTTCATTGTTCTTCTTAGTTTTTTCTTTAGTTTAATCCTTCAATTAGTTGAATTGTAGAAGAAAAAAATGTGAACATTTTATAAGATGGCTTTCCAATTTGCAATGATAAAGCTCCCAATATAACTGAGGTGATTTCTAAAAGGGGGCTTTTTTCCTCTTCTTTTTCTTTTTTCTTTCTTTCTTTTTTTTTTTTTTTTTTTAAAGTAAAGGCAAACATAATTTAAGGGGAAAAAGAAAGAAAAGCATGCAGGCTCTACAGGCAAGGAGTCCACGTCCATGAATCTGTTCTCTGTGAGGTAACTCAATTCTCTTTTGTAGAGAAACATGCAAAAGGCCAAACAATATTCCGAGCCATACTGCACATGGAAATTTAAAAATATGCAACATTCGAAATGCACCCTTCACCTCTGTATACACAAGTCAATGCAAAATTTGCAAAGAAACAGTGTCACAGGAATGAAGTTAGGTGCAAACAATGACAGCTGAACAATGATGCAGTAGTGCTCACCCAGTTTGTACAGTAATTGGCACTCTACAGTATTCCTACTCGTTTTTTGATTCATTTGCACTTTGTGCTGCCTCTCCCTGGGGATCTAATTCAATCTTTACAGAAACATCTGGCCCCTCCGACCTCATTAATTTCATCTTTTTCTTTGGAGGGTTTTTCAAAGTGCCCAGCCTCTCCTTTACTTTGTACTCCAGTGTACTGTGGGGAATCCCATAAATACTCTGAGCTTTGGAAACACTCATTTTTCCACTCATAACCACTGAGATTGCTTCCTCCAGTATCTCACTGTTGTACTGTCTGTAACGCCCTCTTTTCTTCCGAGGCTGCTTGGAGCCAGGGTCTCCTTCTTGATCCGATGTGGGATATGGCTGTCCAGAGGTAGACTGCTCAGCATCTGAGCCCCAAGAATCAGGTCCAGCATCTAACATGCTTTTTCTATTTTGTTTTGGAAGAATAGCCCTTAATTTTTTACTAAGCGCGCTCTCCGTTTGTGAACCCATTACCAAAGAGCTATAGCTGTACTGATCACCAGTGCGAGACTCCCAAGAAAGATCCATTCCTCGAACTTGTGGTATCTTTAAATCTACAGGAGATGAATGGCTCACATCCTTTTTTCCATCTTGTTTTGCTTGAAGTGCCATTTTTGGAAAGGCAGAATTTTCTGCAAGAAAAGGAAGGTCACTGATGTTGCTGAGTGCACCATTTCCCCTGAACTTCATACGGCTGAGGTTGAATTCATAATGTGGTTTTGCCCAAGAGGCTTCCCTGGATAATATTAAGTGTTGTCCATGATTCTGTAATCCAGATGGCCCAAGGCTGGCAGCTGTAGACAATTGGTTTCTGCTCAGTAGTTCTTCACTAATCTGCAGGGATCGAGCCAGTGGAACTTTGAGTGATGTGGAGTGTCCAAAACCTTCCCTGGTTCCATCCTGTAAGCTTCTTGGAGGTACCCCATCACCACTCCGAAGTCCGTCTGGGCGGTACTGGCTGGGTCTCCCAGGTCGCCTAATTGGATGGAAGGAAACTGATGTGAGCAGGACTTGCACAGGTAGGGAGGGATGGGTGAGGGGACCACTCCTTTATTAGAAGGCCTTGCTTGGGTAACATCACTTTGTGTTATTTATTTATTTTTCTCTAAAATTAAAAAAAAAAAATAGTCTCGGCAGTTAGTTTTAAAACTTGTTCACAAAAAGAAAAAGGAGAAAGGAAAAAAAAAACAGGAGCTTTTTGGGCAAAGAAAAATTAAACCTGTTGGCTGGTCTCTGGTTGGGTTCACAAATTTTCGGAGAAAAAGTTTCGCGCAACTGTCTGAAAATAGGACCTTAATTATTAATTACAGTGTAATCATCAGTCTCCAAAGATCTACACAGAATTGTGTTACCAATGTGACGTTACCACTAAACAAGTACAGTAATAAAAGAGTAAGCCAAATTACTTTAATGCAATCTATTCAACATTCATGATCACTAACTATAAAACTGGAACCATTTACACTGGTGGAACCCCCAGCTGATTGCTTATTTACTCCACAAACAAGCTAATGTTCATCATCAAAAATTAAACAATTCCAAATAACATTTCTTATTTTGCTTGGGAAAAAAAATATAAATGGAAACCAGCCCCAAGGGGGAGGGAGGGAGTCAAAACTAAAAGAAACCAAAAGAGCGACTTCTGCATTTAAACTTACCACACTTCTTCATTGTAAAACACTATATGGTAGCAGATACATGAGTATCAGGATTCTCTACTTATATCTTTTAAGCTTATGTAACTGCAAAGAAAATTATTCCTTACTTTCCCCAAAACTTTTCTCGTAAGTTCTATTCGAAGAAATTACTATCAGGTTTATAAACAATCTTCTAGCAGTTTTCTTTGGTTAAGAAAAAACTCCTCTTCCTGAAATATCAATTGCCTATTTTGAAATTTCAAGTGGATAAGCTTTGAAATCATATTTTAAATGTTAACTATTTATACAGAGTTAATTTACAAGGTTTTGATATTCACAATACAAAAAGGTCATCAATCTTTTAAAATTGGCAACTGGCAAAGCAAGCCTAAAGGGGAATAATATTAAGTGTTATACATTAATGAGATCTAAAAATGAAACTCTGCAATAATGATAAATCAGATATGTTCTCCAAAACTCTACAGGGACCAATATCATTATTATCATAATAAGAATACCACTGAACACTCAACTACAATATGGGCAATACCACTTGTGCATTTGTCTTCCATAAAACAAAACCAAAGAGAAAACACTTCCCATTCAGAGGGATAAGCAAAGCAACTTCAACCATATAATACATGGATCTGGTAGCAAAGTTTAAGATGAATCTTAAGGGATTCATTTACGCCAACTGCACTTGGGCTTCTACTATACACATCCTTAATTATGTAACTCACATGTTTTTGATGTATAAATGGAACCCAGTAATTTGGGACCTTGCTGACTTATATTTACAGTAATCTAAAAAAATGAATTAAGTTAACATTTTTAGACTGAAGAAAAGAAGGGAGAATAGTACATAATAAAAAAGGTGAAATGATAAAAGACGAGAACATTTCAGAAGTCAGTAAACAAATCCTTCAGTTTGAAGATAAATAAAAACTAGTTACAAAAGGTTAGTCCATTTAGTTCTCACCTGTTTTTGTAAAAATCTAAACAATTTCTCCATGTAAATAGTCTAAAAGTTAAATATGCCTACATATAAACTGATTTATAAACTTATCAAAGGTATTTTGCATATCTAGGTAAAGTTGGTTTTTGGTTACAACAGTTTTCTAATATGATGCCTAAATACTTCATTAATACCTGACTTTTCTAAATGATTACTAGATACACAGAGTAACAATTACATATTATAGTATAATTCTTACACTACAAAATTCAATGATAAGAGAATTCGCTTTAGTCCCGTATGAGTTATAAAACTGAGCATGTAATAATGTCTTGGCAACATAAGATGGTTATCCATCAACATCCACAACCAGCCTTATCTATTAAAAAATCTAAAATGTATACAATCACATTTTTTGAACTGCTACAGAATTAAAATTGCAGTTCAAATCAACAACCAAAACCAAACCCAAGTCAAAACAAAAATGAACACACACACATACACACGAGGACTCAATCCCCATTAGAGATATCAAGTGAAACCTAGAGCTCAATTTTCATTCAACAACTATAGCACACACAACACTGCCTTTACGTCTAAATTCCAGAATTATTTAGCTTGAGTTTCACACTTCACAACACTAAACAACAAAAAGCCCAAAGACATATATTCTTACTACATTCACGACTACTTACTACTTGTACTAAACTGACAAAATTGATCTATACTAGACAATTCTACATTGCACCGATATACTCTTATTTGATTGACAGCCTAAAGGTTATTTTATAAAAGGTCCACCTGTTACTCTGAAGGATTAAATTTTAAAGTACACAGGGGAGACTGGCAAATCAATCTCTGGTGAATTATCTAGATAAAATTGTGGAAGGCTACAAATATTTTCCCTTACCCATTCCCTTGAGTACTGGAGCAGCCTGCAGAATGGCTCAGGGAAGTGCTGCCAGCACACGGACTTTTCTTAGTAGACAGGTCAAGTACACCGTCTGCAGAGACACAAACACCTGAGGATATTAAAAAGTGAAGCAAATGTAGAATGAAAATACTAAACATGAAATGGCAGCAGGTTTAGTCAATCAGGCAAACACAACAGTCACATATTTGAGTTATTCAATATAAAAATCAAGATATTTTTCTCCTGAAATAACATAAATTAAGAAAAGTATGTTACATCAAATGTATCTAAGGATTCAATATTTTATTAATAGTGCAAAAGAAAAGGCAAAGCATATTATAGACAATGTTTAGATATGGTGAAATATTAGAAATAGCAGTTCACACAGCATGATGTTCTATACCAGACTTATACTTCATTTTCTAAATTGACCTTGATTCAAATGTAAGTTTTAATGTCCCATTAAAAAAACTGTCTTAGAAACTATAAAACCAAATTCCTCAAGATCTAAATCTACCTGAAACTTAGATCCAAACTAATTTAAAATTAGATAAAAGACAAATTTAAATATAACAAAAATTATTTTAAAACATGAGTTTATATAATTAAATTACATGTACACACTAAACAAGATAAATGTATGTTTAGATTCAATCCTTTGAGAATATACAGAAATTAAAAATTCAATTGCTGAAATTTATAAAGAGAAAGGATTTTAATAAGATACTAAAAACTGGTGGTTTCTAGTTTAAGAAAGAATGAAACAATCTTGATACTAATTAGAGCCTAAGTGTAACCAAGAAGCTAGACCAGATCACATAATTCACATTGCTAATAAATAAAATCAGGACACTTTCTTTTCCCACAAAGATACGTTCCTTCTTACAGACTTATCTAGATACAGATCTCATAGACGGGACAACTTTTTAAGCAGCCATTCTGTCCAAAATAAATAGAGCAAGATAATACCCAATGCCTCTGATTTTTAGATGGCTAGTAGAAAGATCCTGCTAACTCATTATGTTAGAATTCACTCCACAATAGAACTTATCCAACTGGTGTCTGAGGACATTCTAATTCCCTATTACGGTTGTCAGAAATAAATATGCAATTAAATGTATAAATAAGAAAGTCAATATCAAGAGAAAACATTGTCCTTTAGAGACATTACCACTTCAAAAAATATAACTATAATCTAACAGAATCAAGTACTTTATTAGATATTTCATTTAATTAGATATCTAAAAAACAAATGCACTGCTATTTCCAACCAAAGACAGAATAATTTAGATTTCTAAATCAAACATGCAATTTATCTAACCCAATGAGAAAACATATTTAAAGTCTGCCACAAAATTATGTAATTAAAATTGAAAACACTAAAATTTAATGCAATAAGAAATTTTTAAAAAACAGTTTGCTTCACTTGAAGTCCATACACTATAATGTTATCGTGTAGTTCAAATTCTCTTAAGAGTGTGTTACCAATACAACATACCTTTTAAGGGCAACACTACCTATGAGATGTTATGTTAAATCAGACTAGTAGAATCATTTTATGTTAACCTTCATTACTAGTATTTTAAATATACCTCTATGCTGTTATTTTCCTATTATAAACCTGAAGCTTTGATGCAATATTTAGAGCAAAGTGATTCTTATTAAAAACTACCAATTCGTGGTAAAGAAAATGATCCTTAACAAAACAGAAAAGACACAACTTTGGTAACCAAAGCCACACCGATTGATGTGAACACAGAGTAATTTGGAATCCTGTCTGTCAATCTCTTGGAATTTAGATACTTTACTTTGTTATTTACTATATCCCAAGAGTAAAAAAAAAAAAAAAAAAGAGAAAAACTACTCAAAAAAATATATTCTTCAATAAGCAACTGAAGCCAGACCATCAAATGTAAAACCTTTATAAATTCTTATAATAAGCAAAGGAAAGTCCTTTCAAAGATGTTCTTTTAAGATTTAAATTTATTTTCTTTCAAAATAAACTTATTTCTCACCAATGTATTCACGGACCTTATAACCTTTCTGTATACTCTTAGAGGAGACTTCTAAAACAATAAAATCATTACTGTAGACATCACTGAGTTACAATTATTTATAATGGAAATGGCCAATTCATCTTTTGAGAAATTAAAAGGTCAAATGAGATTATAAAGCAAGAGGAATATTTATTCTACTTACTTTCTGAGACTCATACATTTTCTAAACAAAACAAATATACTCTTAACCTCTTTACTAATTTGGGTCCTCACTCACAAATTCCCCTTCAGAAATACTTTAAAGTTAGTTCACAATACATTGTATATAAATATGTATATATTTCTGTATTTATAAAACACTGAATACACTTAAGTGTGTTCTATTGTCTTCTTTTATTTCTAACCCTGGTAATTTCTTTTTTAAAACTGCAAATAAAAACATTTTTTCCTTATGATCTCATTTGCAGAACAAAACAAGTAAAGGTGTATTTTTCAGGTACTAATTCTAAAACATTAAGGAAAAAATAGAAACTTAATTTTTCATAGGAGTTTTTAGAAAATGGACAGGACAACACTTTGGAAAGTGCAAAATGCTTGTTTTAATAACTTAAAAATCAGTTACAACTATAAACCACTTGACACACCTGGGTGGTACATCAATCACAACTATGAATTACTGACAGGTAAGGTTTTAAGAATTTTATCTGTACATATCTATCACTGTATAGTAAGGAATAATTTAAGATTCACATTATTGTTTTGTTTTTTAAAGAGACAAATTCTTGCTATGGTTCCCAATGTGGCCTTGAATCCCTAGGCTCAAATGATCCTCTTGCTCCAGCCTCCCAATAGTTGGACTATGGTATGGGCTACCACCCAGCTAGAATCACACTATATTTTATTCTATTATTAACTACTGGTCCCCTCATTGCCAATAATTTTTTTCTCCCCCGAATCAGTTTTCTGATTGGACAGAGGAGACCATGATTATCAAACCATACCTTGTTCACTAGGTTCTGACTGAGACTTTCTGACAGTAAGGTCCAGAGGTGAGTCTTGGTCAGCCATGAGAAGTTTGCTGAGCACAGGGTTCTGAGTAGTTGCAGCCGTGGGAGAGGTGGTGACTGGAGATGCTTTCGGCAGGCTTTGGTTCTTTGTGCTATTGGGCTGGCTGGGGTCCTGAGTAGAGCTATTTTTTGAGGTATATTCAGCAGCAAATTGTTGGATCATTCGCTGCATGATCTCACGGGCCACTAGGGGAATATTGGGGTCGAAGACCCAGGGACTGTCTGTAAACAAAGATTTATTCACTTTTAAAGTGGAAAATTGTACTTTAAAAAAAAAAAAAAAACCCAACCAACAAAAAAGACAGTTTTCACAAAAACATATTCATATTTTTCTTAAAATGCAAAGTCTTAAAAATAGTACTCCCCTTGATTTATATTTTTAATCTCTAAGCTTTTGAGTTGCAGGTTTTTAAAAAAATAAAATTTTCATAAAAATATTTCTAAACATTCCCCCCCAAGGATTATGAAATTAAAGGGTTACAAATACTATCTTTTATAGGCTAAAATCACTTACCTGATATAGAAATCCCCAAACCTTTCTCTTAAGAGTTATTCCCCAGTTAACATCTACAGACAATACATTGTTTCCCCTAGAGTTTTTTGTCATCAACTGTCCTCTCCTAAATTTCCAAAATTTGGACTACTGAATTCACGAGTGCTTAATTCATTTCTTGTTAAAGACTGATGGCATAACAAGATCATAAAATCAGATACTTAATTTTAAGTATTCAGTCATGATAGGCTAGAGCAATAGTCTTCCCATTTTAATGTTCACTGAAATCATTTTGAGGTCTTTTGACTGCTGGATCCTATCCCCAGAGTTTCTGATTCAGCAGTTCTAGGGCTCAAGAACTGGCGTTTCTAACAAGCTGCTAGATGCTGCTTGTGTGAGGACAACAATTTTAGAAACTGTGGGTTGGAAGTTTAAATGTCAATTCTCAAAAGTTGGAAGACAGACCACATATTTTCCATGAATAATCTTTTATATTTTCCATTAAGAATCTTTAAGTATACTCTTCCAGATATTAACAGAACAGTTACAAAAGTAATGAAAAACACTTAAGTTATCCATGTCTAGTCAATTTTAAAATAAAAACCATATGAACTCATTAATTTTTGAACCAGAAGGGACCTTCAAGTTCAAATTTGGGTAAGATGAAAGGTGAAATCTATATATTCGTGTGTATGTGTGTGCGCGCACGCACACACACGTGTATATATATACATAAAAATAAAAGATTCTCACATCTCTATAATTACAACACTAGCCTATCAAGGAAAAGAAGCTTCTTGGGGGCAGAGATTAAATGTATGTATATATACCTAAATCTTGCCTGGTGTAAAGTGTGCATTCAATTTAGCTGAGTAATGAATGGAAGGAATCAATTTATACCAATTTTCTTTTAATAAATGTGGAAAAAGTGATAAAAAAGTAGCCTCTACAAATTAGTACAGATGATTTCTGATAAAACTCAATCAAAACTCTTTCCCAGATCTTAAATGTCTACCTGTACCTTTGACTCCCCACCACACTTCTAATGCATTTATAAGATGGTTTTCAGAAAATCTGTTTCCTTGGTCTTTTAAAGATTAGCTATATAAGGCAAATACCCACAGTATCTTAGAGCTGTGAGGAATTTGTGAGATTGATTTATAAAGTACAAAGGCACAAGGAAAACTGACTTTATTACTAAAATCTCCACAAAAAACAAACAAAACGCTCAAACTTCATAGAACTCATAATAATAACAACACATATTTTCCCAAAAGGAGAACATTCAATACCTGAATATGCTCATGCAGTCACAATATTTATTTAATTTTCTGAAGTTTAATGAGGCTTGCTCTGTCAATATCATTTTTGTCTCACTAAGGAGTATTTATAATCCTTAATTTCTTCTCTATAAATATAGACTATTAGTATTCCAGATAGTTTATGAAAAAAGATATTTAATTAGGTGAGGTTCAGAAGTTCCTATATTCACTGACAATGCTTCTTCAAAAGTTTTACTAAACATTTTAGTCATATATTGCTTTTCAAATCTCTTTACTGGATTTTCTCATTAGTTATTTAACTTTCCAGTTAAGATCCATTTCCCCCTATATAGCATAAATCTCTGTATGAAAGACTATAAAATTTTAATATATTAGTGGTACCTTTCTCCCCATAGAAAACTGGAGAATATGTAATAAAAATTTCCAAATAGGAAGCAAATGAAATATTTAAGAATTATCTCTGTGTTTAACTAGTATTAGTAAATAAATATCCTTAAAAAGCTTTGTGATTTGTCAAAGATTTTAGGATAAAGATCATAAACTGCTCCTTACGCTTAAAATGCCTACAGTATACTTTGTCTTTTTAATGAATGGATGACTAATACAATCATGAGACAAAATATTCTCAATGTTTATGAATGAAACTCTGCCATTTAAATTTCAGTATCTTTTTTTGAAAGTTTCATGAAAGCATTCATTTTCTGACTTATAACACAAGTTCTATATACATTTTCATGCCTAGGGAAATAGACACAATTGAGTCAAATAAAACCAACAACTCAGATGAAAATAAAACTACACAAAAACATGTAAAAATTAAATCACAGCCACTGGTACATTTAAAATGGAAATCTAACTTCTAGAAAGGTATCACATTTTTTTTTTAAAACATTAAGTGACAAAGCAAATTAAAAAGGAAATGTGATTAATAGAATTTTATAAGGATAATATTGTTCTAAAGTTAAAACTGGTTACAATAGAGTCCATTATCATAAAAGTCTACTTTCATTGCATCTGTATTTCTATTTAGCTATACAAAACCTTTGCACGCCTGGTTGTTTAAAATATATAATTTGTATTGCTTGGATACAAAGGGCTAAATCCAAGCATCTGAAATAAAGGCTGAGCATTCTTCATCTGGTAAAGTGTACGTAAATATTCGAAAATCTGAATTGAAATCAAACCCACTTCTGGTCCAAAGCATTTGGGATAAAAAATATTAAACTGATGTTTATGAAAACAAGGGATACTCAACCTATATTAATTTGAAGAGTACAAATGTTCATCTTTAAGATATATCAAAGAGGGTTTTAAAAATATCTAAAAATAATAACACTGGTATATAACATAAGGGGAAGTAACTGGAATTCTTCCAATTCCAAATCATTCTTTTCTGAGTATTTTGTGCCAGTATAAAAACAAACATAAAAACTTAAGTTACATATATACAGTTTCAGATGATTCTCATAGCTCTTGAAATGTATCTTAAGATCTAAGGTCAGAATCCCTCTAAACAAAACTGATAAAAATTTTAATTTAAGTTATTCCTCTATGACAAAGGGATGAGACTACTAGAAGTAGGACAGAATAACTTCTTATTGTCCCTAAACAAAGAGTGGATAAAAATGGGTTCCTCCATACAAATTAAGTACAAAAGCTTCTCTATCCAGATAATAAAGTTTGCTATCAGACCTTTGCCCTGTATACATTCTAAAGAAGAGGAAATGTAAAGATATTTTATTTGGCTAATACACTCATAGAACTGGTTATTGTTTAAACCTTAAATATGAATTACTTTAATAAAAAAATCAAAAACATGCATAAAACTAAGAAAATGACTATTTTTAATATAATGTTGGAATTCAGGGCACTTTATGCAATGATGAGGTGAGCCTGGGAGGTTGAGAGATTTTTAGGTCAGAGGCTACCAGCAGGTATTAAAAGAGAATGGAGGGTATACCAAAATTTTTGAATTTACAATGGATCTTACTGAAAAAAATGGGGGGAAAATGTGCCCGCCCAATAATCTCTACATTCCTTAACTTTATTATGATATTTAATCTTATACTATTATTTAAACATATTGATCACATTAAGAAAAAAGAAGCCCAGCTGATATTCAACTATACCCAACCCATTAGAACAAATACTCACCAGAGAGTATACAGTCAAAATTGTACACCCTTTAGAAGGGAAGAAGAAAATTTCCAGAGGAATGAAAGGTGTAAACCACAATACGTAAAGACATTAAAGAAAAGGGAATCACTAAGTGTCCAAGATTACATAGGACATTCAAGATTACCAGGAATTTGTAGGAAACCCGTTTTAGAACCTATCATAGTAACCTCCATCTTGGAACTAGAGTAAAAGGGTAATTAAAATAAGCATACAAAATCATTCAGAAAGAATTTCTTGAAAGACTCTTGACTACAATGGTTGGTGAAGGAAAGTTTCCTGAAGGTCTTGACTAATGGCAATTATGCTTTGCAGACAGAGAAAAACAAAAAACCTCGAAGGTCTTCATGAAGAATTTATAAACCCCAAGCCTCTATTACGATTAGACATACATTCTCTGAATTTTAAAAGAAATGTAAAACAAGCCTATCAAGTTTCAAGAAGAATCCAGCATGGCGGTTCATGACTGTAATCTCTGACTGGGGAGGCTGAGATAGGAAAATTGCAAATTCAAGGTCAGCCCCTGCAATTTAACGAGACCCTGTTTCAAAATAAAAAATTAAAAGGGCTGGGGATGTGGTTCAATGGTAAAGCGCCCTTGGCTTCAACCTCACACCCTACTACCAAAAAAATCCAAAAAACAAAAAACAAGAAACCAAGTTTCAATGAGAAAAACAAACTGAAAAATCCAAGAGACAGAGCTATTAAATGACACCTCAAATGTAGGAAAAAATTTTATTATGAGTTTTATCACCCTAATTTTAATAATCTAAAAAACTTTAGTGAAATAAGACTATACCAAGGGGAAAATGTTTACAAATCTAATTGGTAAAAAAAAGAAAAAAACATCTAATTGGTAAAGATATAGCTACATTTTCTTTCCCAATAAAATTTCAGGTTGGAATTACTAAAATATTATATAGTAGGTTTTATAGTTACTGATAATTAAAACAGTAACTGCTTATATTTAAAAAATTGCTCAACAAAAACCTAACTACTGAGACCTTAAAATTTTCAGAGTTTCATAATAATGGATTTAAGTATTTGACTAAAATCATCACTTCAGAGATAAGGGGGTGGCAGGATAGGGATTGCATTAACTCTGTTCCAAATTTACCTTGATCAAAGGAATACAGAAAAAAAGTGCATCATTAGCAAAGAAAAAATTACTTTTAAGAGTAACTTTAAAAATAACATTGAAACTAAGAAGACTAATGTAAGACAAGCAGATGCTAAATGTCATTCTTCACTGAAACCAACCTTTTCTATAAAAGACTGCATTGAGGAACTCTTCTGCTTGTCTCTCGAATCGAATGATTTTTGCTTGCTCTTGTTTAAGCAGAGCTTCCTGCCCAGCTCCCGAAGCTGGTTCATCCAGACGGACTAAGTGTCCCTGCAAAAATATTTGGTGAAATATTTGTACAAAAAATTTTCCCCATTCAAAATAAAAAACAGATGTATAATTATAAACAAATACTAACAGCATATTAAACAAATTTGTTAATATTATTAAAGTATTTTAGAACTTCAATTCAGGATAAAAATTATCTCCACAAAACTATAATAATAGTAAAATGAGTATAAACATACCGCTTGGGTGAATTTTATTCACATTTTTCAATTATGAGTTTTCCCCCACAATTTACCGTACACTAATTAAACAATAATTACTAAAGGGAAAATTTCTTTGAGCATTAAAATATATTGGTTCTCTTAAAGCAAGTGTTCACAGATAAATCCATTCAGATGGTATGCTTTTATACATTTTAAAAAAATCTTTAAATTTCAGATCTCATTTAAGGATCATGTTTGTCCTCCTACTATGTGATATTTTCTCCAGACACAAAACGTTTTTAAAGGGAGTGAAATTGACCAAATTACCTTTTGAAATATATATGAAAATGGCACAATGAAACACGTTTTTCTATATAATCAATATATACCAATTTTTTTAAGCATTCAGGAAGGAAAATTCAAGAAGAGTTTATCAAATTTTATAATTCTGTTCCTAGATTACTTAACAAACTATGGCTCTCAAACTTTTACTGAGTAGGAAAAGAGTGTACTTCATATTCTAAATATAAACACTGCAGCATCTTTAGTTACAATATATATGTGTGTCTAAACATGCTTACAATATAAAATATGGATCAAAACGTTTGTCTAAATGAAAAGTTCCAAAATGCTGTACTGAATTCAACTGCGAGATGTATAGCATCTGCTTCCAGACTTCAAGAACAATGGAGTAAACTGACAATGTTTTGCACATATTTAAGTCTCAGTGCATATAACTTACTTTATTTCACTGTAATATATCAATACATGCATTTACTTTAATCATGGAATCATCAAAAGTGCTCCAAATAAGAAAACAGAACATACACTGGTATAATGTAATTAAACAAGAATTAAAGGCATATTATAATCCACAAAATATTTCCTCAAGGCTTTTAAATATATCTACTGTTATCTGTAAAAACTTGCTATGATTTCTCCATTACCTGAATTGTGCCACACAGCACAACCAAGATACAGACACACATACATCTTACTGACACATTTAGAACTGATTATATATTGCATACAAATAGTTTAACAAAAAGAACTCACTTGCCTTATTCAAATTACAACAATGATTTAACATTTCTAAATAAACAGTAAATTTGTTATATAATTTGTTTAAAGAATTTTCAATTAAGTATTCTAAGTGTTATAAACCATGAAAAGTTTTTTACTATTAATGTTATTTGTCAACATTCTTTTCTAAATATATAAGTAATTTTGAAACACAAATCATAAATAATTATGATATAGATTAAACATCTAAAACATATTAAGAACAGGCATCAGTTGAAATGCCATCAAACTCTTCAACTGTATTATACTTTAGTGTCATTTCATTAAGTGATTTTTTAAAATATAAATTATACCTGTATGTTCTACATTCAATCAGTTGAAGTTAGATACTGAATGATGTATCTGTATAGTACTTAAAGTTTATTTAATGTAGTATTCAGACTCCTATCATATGTAATGGAACACAACAGAGCAACTAGCCTAGTACTCATCAGGCAGATGCTATGTGTCCTTTCATAAACAATATAATCAATCCCCATTCCCACACCAACACTAGGAAACCAATATACTAACTACACTATGTTTTGTCTTTATAGATGTGCCTGTTCTGGACATCATTTCATCTAAATAAACATACACACATACACTCTTTTTTTAATGTGTGTTTTTTTTTTCCCCCCTGTGGTGCTGGGGAGTGAACCCAGGGCCTTGTACTGAGTTATATCCCCAGCCCAGTGATCGCCTTTTTTTCTCCTAGAATACTGTTTTTTTTTTTTTTTTTTTTTTTAAATCTCAGCTCCACCTGAGACTGAAATGAGCTCTTCCTCTGGGTTTTCAGTCTCTCTTTTCTTTTTTTTTTTTTTTTGAGAGAGAATTTTAATATTTATTATTTTTTTTTTTTTAGTTTTCAGCGGACACAACATCCCCATTTGGATGTGGTGCTGAGGATTGAACCCGGGCCGCACGCATGCCAAGCGAGCGCGCCATCTCCTGAGCCACATCCCCAGCCTCCTAGAATAATGTTTTCAAGGTTCGTCCACACTGTAGCATGTGTAAGTAGTTAATGTCATTTATTGCAAAATGAATACTTCATTGTATGGATACATCACTTTTTATTTATCTTTTCTTCAGTCGATGAGTATTTGAATTGCTTTCACTTTTGGGGTATTATAATAATAATAATACTGCTATTAACTTGTGTACAGGTTTTCATGTGGATGTATATATTCATTTTTCTTGAATATGTATTTAGAAATGGAACATCTGGATAATATTTTAACTATGTTTAACATTTTGAGGAAGCGTCAAACTATTTTCCAAAGCAGGTATATCACTTTATATCCCCAACAGCAGTTTATGAGACGCATACTCATCAATACTTATCATTTTGATTATACTCATCTTTAGTAGATGAGAAGCAGTATCTTGTTCATATTTTCTTTCTTTCCCTTCCTTCCCTGGTACTGGGCACTGAACCCAGGGCCTCATAAATTCAAGGCAAATACCCTTACCACTGATGTACATCCCCAGCTCTAGATTTATATTTTCTAAAAGACTAGTGATGTTCAATTTCTTTTCAGGTGCTCACGGGCCATTTGAAATGTCTACTCAGATCCTTTGCTCAGTTTTTTTAATTGGACAATTTTTTAAATTGTTGAATTATAAGAATTCTTGACATATTCTGACTTAATTCTATGATTAGATTCACGAACTGCAAATATTTTCTTCTTTTGTGTTTCCTCAGTGATGGTACTGTTAGCAGCACAAGTTTTGAATTTTAATGAATTCTAATTTAAAAGTTATCTTTTGTCCCTTCTGTTTTTGATGTCATAACTAAAAAAATTTGTTTAATTCAAGATCATGAAGATTTATTCCTGTTTCCTTCTGAGTCTTACAGTATTAAAGCTTACTTTTATGTCTATGACTTATATTAAGTTAATTTTTGTGTATGGTAAATGTGTACGAAAGGAGTTTAACTTCATTCTCTTGCATGTGGAGAATCAGTTGTTCTAGTACCTTTTGTTAAATAAATAATTCTTACCTCCAAAGGATTGTTTTGGGATACTTATCAAAAATCAATGGTCATAAATTTTACTTAGGGACACTTTAATTCTATTCCCATTAACTATGTAGCAAGTTTTAAAATTAATAAGTATGAATTCTCTCAATTTGTTCTTTTACAGATTATTTTGGCTTCTTGAGGTCTCTAAATTTTCTTGAGAATTTCAGAATCAGTTTGTCCATCTCTTAAAAAAGAAATCACCTGGGATTTTGATGGAGAATGCAATTATCAACTTGGGGAGTGATGTCATCTTAAAAATATTGACTTTTCTGATCAAATGTGGGGTATCACTTTATTTTCAATGTTTTGTAATTCACAGTGTATAAGCATTACACTTTTGATATTTTTATTTCAAAGTGTTTTACTTTTTGATGCTACTATAAATGGAATTTTCTTAATCGTAGTATTTCTCATCACTAAGTGAAAACAGATATTCTAAAAATGATGTTATATTCTGAACCTTGCTGAATATATCTATAAACTATCAGTTTTATAAATTCCTAAGACTTTTTATATTCATCATCAAGTCATCTGTGAACAGAGATAGTTTTACCTCCTTCTTTCAATGTGGATGACTTTGGTTTCTTTTTATAGCTTAAATGCCCTGATTAGAAGCTCCCCAACAATGTTGAATAGAAATAGGAATCCATATCTTAGGAGGAAGCTGTTCAGTCTGTTATTAAATATGATGGTGTTTTTGTAGCTCAGGTTGTGGAAATTCCCTTCTATTCCTAGTCTATTAGGTGTGTTTGTATTTATATATATATATATATATATATATTTTTTTTTTTTTAGTTGTAGATGGACAGAATGCCTTTATTTTATTTATTTTTATGTGGTACTGAGGATAGAACCTAGTGCCTCATGGATGATAGGCAAGTGGTCTGTCACTGAGCAATAGCCCCAGCCCAAGTGTTTTGTGGGTTTTTGTTGTAGTTGTTGTTGTTTTTGTTTTTTTAAATCAGCAAGTGGTATCTGGTCGGGCCATATTGCTTCTGGAGAGCATCTATGGACATGATCATATGGTTTCTCATCATTTATTATATTAACACACATTACATTGATTGATTTGGGGGCATTAAATCAACCTTGGGATCCTGGGATAAATCCTACCAGGTCATGGTGTATACTTTTTATATACTAGCAGATCTGATGTTGAGGGTTTTTTGTATTGATATTCATAAGTGATAATGATCAATATTTTTTGTGATGTCTTTGTCCGGTTTTGGTATCCATAATACTGGCCTCATGGAACAAAGAAGTCTTCCCTCCTATAATCTGAAAAAGTTAGTGAAGAATTGGTAGTAATTCATTAAATATCTGATAGAAATCACCAGTGAGGATATCTGGCCATGGAGTTTTTCTTTAATATAAGTCTAAAAATTATTAACCCAATCTCATTATGGTTTGAATATGAGATGTACCCCCACAAAACTCATGTTAAACAATGCAGGGTTGTTCAATTGTAAGAGCTGTAAATTTATCAGTGAATTAACCTAAATAGACTACTGGTGTAAACTGTAAGCAGACAGAGCAAGGCTTAGACCTCTTAAATAAAATTTTCCTTCTCTTTAGTTGTTCTTGTCAGGTATTTTGGTCATAGTGACAAAAAACTTAACACACTTGTTCTAGTCTAGTTTAGTTTTGTAGGGCTACTATAACATATTACCATAAACTAAGTAGCTTAATACTGTGATTTATTCTCACAGCTCTGGATTCTAGAAGTCTAAAATCAAGGTGCCAGTAGGATCATT